GCAGGGACCGTGGAAGGAGAGGCTGCCCATGGCCAAGGCAGTAATTCGCCAAGCTTCAACACTGGGCAGCAGACCTGCTGCCCCAGGGGTGTCTTCCTCCTAAGCCCAGGCAGCCCCACGATGGTGGGAACAGGTTTCCCGGCAGAGAACCCTTTCCTGATGCTCCTGTTTGATAACTCTGAGCAGAGCAGCCCGTGCCGGCGGGCCTCGCTCCTGTCCCCACCGCGCTGTTGCCTTGCTTCCCTCCCAACCAGCACCACTGTGCTCCAGAGCATGAAGCTGGGCATCGACGTGAACAGGCACAAGGAGATCATCGTGAAGAGCATCTCCGCCGTGTTGCTGCTGCTCCTCAAGCACCTCAAGTTGAACCACATCTACCAGGTGAGCGCCGAGACCGAGGCACCCACCGCCAAGGGGCTCCCCACGTAGACGCGTCCCCAACAGTCTCCTTCTTAAAATATCTACATGTCTTTTAGGCTGCAGATAGGTTTTCTATTGGGATGAACCTTAGCCCCAGGACGGGATTTCGATTCCATTCCTCGTGCTAGGATAACCTGCCTGCACTATAGCTGACAAGATCCCTTCCACCCACGCAGCAGCAGCCTCCCAGGTCACAGGCTGAAATCCCCGACATGGGCACGAGCAGAAGCTGTGCTGGCACGTGGGGTAGGGGATGGGAATAGACTGGACCATTTTTTTGCTCTGCCTGAGCTCCAGTTACAAACAGCAGCGCTGGATGAGACCTTGGGAACTCATCTAAGCCGCTCCTCCGTCCCAAGGCAGGATCAAATTCTCAGGGCTCCTGTTTCAACAGAGCCCACGTGTCCGTGTCCTCGATGCGGAGTGACTTTTGGCTGCGTCATGCCAGCCGAGCTGTAGGGTTTGGCTCCGAGTCACCTCCCTTATCTAGTTGCTGTGTTGGTCTAGCGGCATCCGCATGGAGCTGCCCAACGTGAGCTTGAGTTATCCCCGAGTTATCCTGTCCTCTTACCGTGTATCCAAACGGGCCGAGCCGGGCGGCTGGGAGCCGGCGCGGAGCCCTCTCGGTGGGGTCAGGAAAAGGAGGTTTAAATCAGGATTACGGCTGGTAACGCTTCTATATAAAACATCAGCAGCTGCCCCACAAAGAAATGACTGCACCACGGAGGGCAGGCAGCGGGTTTTGCATTCACAAAAGCATTCCTCCCCATGCTTGTGCACGTTCCTTGCAGCAGATTTTATCTTGGAAAGCTCCCATACAGTCACTAGGTGCAGCTATCCTTAAGCTAATGCCACCAGGTTGTACGGCTGCTCCCGTGCAACCCCTTTCCCAGGTGATGAGGGTTGCTGTATATGATGCATGCGATGCACATGATGTATATGTGCAGCTGCCCCATCTAAGGTGCAAGCAGGAGAGGTGGGGAGAGCAAACCCTCACGGTGACTTGCTTTCCAACGGCACCGACACTCCGTTCGCCCGCGCCTGCTCCCCGTTGCTAACGGTGCCACGTTTCACTTCTCTCCCTCAGTTTGAGTACGTGTCCCAGCACTTGGTGTTTGCCAACTGCATCCCGCTGATCCTCAAGTTCTTCAACCAAAACATCATGTCTTATATCACCGCCAAGAACAGGTAGAGCCCTGTGCAGATCCATGGCGGGACCGAGGCACTTTTGGGTGCAGGCATGGCTCTAAGACAATGTGTTTTGCACTGCACAAACATGCTAGAAGAGATTAAATTCTGATTGATGAGGAAGATGAGGAGGGGACAGTTCAGACTCTCAGACTACTCCTAAAACATGTGCAGGTCCCTGTCCCCCAGCGCCTGCAAGGCCACAGCCTGGGAACAGCTACAGGAGATAAGAGTCCTCTGGGCCTGCTCCGCTTTTTATAGCTGTGATTCAGCTCGCCTGACCTGTTTGGGATTTAAATAGTTGTCACTGCCTTTTGCTTTTGCTAATTTGGGAAAGGCACCTGGCCCTTGCTCGCCTGTGTGTGTGGCCTGGCCATGCCAATGCAGTGCCAGCAACTGGTGGCAAAGGAGTTCACGGCTTCTGGATACAAGCTGGGGCTATTGGGGCGCTCTCTGCATGGTGCCACCAGCTTGAGGGTTGTGGTGGATGGGAGCCACCATCCCTGGGTCACACAAGCCTCTCCCATGTCAAATGCCTTAAGTGAAGCATCTGCAGCATCTTGTGGCCTCAGGGGACTTCTTCTGAAGTCCTTCTGACTCCGTGGTGGTGGCAAACAAGGAGAAACACACCGAGTGTAGCTGTGTGATAGCACGCCCTTCGCTTCAGGTTAAGTGCAGGTCTTGGGGGATATATTGCATCAGTGCCTGTGTGTGTGCACAAATATATGTGTGTGTGTGTACATATATGTGTGCTTATACTTATTGGCTGCTTTTATAAAGGCAGTAAGTCTGGAAGGTTCTGAAAGGCCTTACGAATTTTATTGATGGTAATACGGTGTCATATGTCTCCTTTGAACTTAAGAGCTGTTTTGTTTTGCCCTTTATTTTTTTTGCATGTGTATAAATAAGTAATCTGTCATCTCTTAACGGACCCCAAATCCTCCAAGTGCTTATTAATGCGTTCAGGATGTGCTGCCAAGCCAAGAGGAGCCAGCACTTGAACTGGCATTCCTAGTCCTGCAAACCACTTACCGCACAAGGCACTTTGCGCTTGCTGCCCGGGGGCCCCTGTAATTCCAAGTCCGGGCACAGGGAACGGGAGTATTGCAGATTGCTGGGGATAATAATGAGGTTATTTAGAAGAGCTGCTTTAACACTGGCCTCTTTCTTAACAAGCCCCTTTTTCCCATCTCCCACAGTATCTCCATGCTGGATTATCCCTATTGTACAGTGCATGATTTGCCCGAGCTCACCGCAGAAAGCCTGGTAAGCAGAAAGGGTCCTTGTAACCAGTATTGCAGTGTGCAACAGGGTGAGGAAGGATTTTTATTTATTTATTTATTTTTCTT